GAGGGCGGGGAGGGCTGGGATGTACCTGTAAGGGCGGGGGGGGGCTGGGATGTACCTGTAAGGGCGGGGAGGCTGGGATGTACCTGTAGGGCGGGAGGGCTGGGATGTACCTGTAAGGGCGGGGGAGGCTGGGATGTACCTGGGGGGGGGCGGGGGGGCTGGGGTTACCTGTAAGGCGGGAGGGCGGGATATACCTGTAAGGGGAGGGCTGGGGACCTGTGGAGGGGAGGGCTGGGGTGTACCTGTAAGGGCGGGGAGGGCTGGGGATGGCGGGGTGGAGGGGATGGGCGGAACCACACAGAAATCAATACTCTGCACCTCACTACTACCGCCGCCACCGCTATACTGCTACTACTGGACAAAACTCGCGGACATAATTGGTCAATACTCTTGGACAAAACTATTGAATATAATTGAACATATTCTTGGACAAAATTCCTAAACAAAACTAAACAAAACCCCTGGACAAAAATTCAAGACAAAACTCCTGGATAAAATTGAACGAACTTCCAAGACATAATTGGACAAAACTCGTGGACAAAATGTGCCACCATCACCATCATCGGCTCCTGGTCTTGAAAGTGTCCTGGCAGGATTATCGATGGTCTCGTCAACTGTGTAACGGCCATCAGAGAGAGAGAGAGAGGAGAGAGAGAGAGAGAGAGAGAGAGAGAGAGAGAGAGGGGGGGGACTGCTGTGAGATGTTAAACTGTGATCAGCTCAGTAAGGAAAGACATGCATGAAGGGAGGAAGGAGAGTATGTAGAGGTGAGGGAGATGAGAGAGAGAAGGAAGGAAGGAAGGAAGGAAAGGGGGAAGGATAAAAGGCTGAGGAACGGTATAATAAGGGAGGAGATGTGTGATGATGGATGATATCTCTCTCCTTCCTTCTTTCTTTCTCTCTCTCTCTCTCTCATACCCACCATCTCACTACCTCCTAGCTACACCCATACACCCTATACTGATATATGTATACTGTATATATTTTAACATAAACAAGAAGATTTATAATGGTTGTCTGGTGTATGTGTCAGGTGTATGTATCAGGTGTATGTATCAGGTGTATGATAGTCCCCTCAGACGTACTACTGCCTGAGACATTCTAGTAGAGAGAGAGAGAGAGAGAGAGAGAGAGAGCAATATGTTATGAATTATGATAATAGTAATCAGGTATAACTCAGGTGAGCTTATAATTAGAATTGAGGAATGCTTTTTATCTATTTATTATGTATATTGTCACCTGGCGGGAAGTGGCGGTGCTGTGGCCCAGGTGGCTTAATGTGTGTTGGCCCAGCTGTGTTTACTGTGTGGGCCCAGCTGGTTTACTGTGTAGTGAGCCCAGCTGTTTACTGTGTTGTAGCCCAGCTGGTTTATCTGGGTTGTGGTCAGCTGGTTTATCTGTGTTGTGGCCCAGCTGGTTTTATGTGTTGTGGCCCAGCTGGTTTAGCATTGTGGCAGGGGCTCAGCTGGTTTTTACTGTGTTGTGCCCAGCTGGTTTACTGTGTTGTGGCCCAGCTGGTTTACTGTGCATGGCCCAGCTGGTTGACCCCTGGCTGTCTCCCCAAGCAATACCTCTGGGACCTACATTTCTTTTAGTCTATTCGTCAAGCTTCCTATTGTTCTTGCGAGAGAGAGAGGAGAGAGAGAGAGAGAGAGAGAGAGAGAGAGAGAGAGAGAGAGAGAGAGAGAGAGAGAGAGACTGAGGAGGGCTAATCAAACTCCCATTTCTCTGAGTGTTGTCCTGCCACCACCCCATTCTCAACACTACCTCCTCACTCCCCTCACCATCCTCCCAATCTTGCTACCACCATCACCACCATCTTCTCGGCTGGACTCAATTAAAGTTTCATTTGACCTGACAGATACATGATGCTCCCCTGGGACCCTACGCCTGGCGGAACAGACAACACAACAGTTAAAAGGAAACCGCACCTGGCATAAAGGTTTCTGAGAACATAGAGACCACTGGCTTAACCCTTTGAGTACGAGAAATTAAAGAACGGGGTCACTAAACATTTGATGGAATACAAACCTTAATAACCTCGGTATAAACGATTCGGTAGATCACTAGAGACCACAGAAACCGCTGGATTAAACAAACACACCTGCCTCCCTGAGCACTAGAGACCACAGAAACCGCTGGATTAAACAAACACCTGCCTCCCTGAGCACTAGAGACCACAGAAACCGCTGGATTAAACTACACACCTGCCTCCCTGAGCACTAGAGACCACAGAAACCGCTGGATTAAACAACACACCTGCCTCCCGGAGCACTAGAGACCACAGAAACCGCTGGATTAAACAACACACCTGCCCCGAGCCCTGAACTGTGTACCACGGAGCCCTTACCACCGCCTTCCTGCAAATTGCAATTTATTTCGGTATAGTCAGCGGGTCTGGGAGCCCTGAGGGGATGATGGGGAGGGGTGAGGGGGGAGAGGAGGAGGAGGTGAGGTGAAGGGGAAAGGGGAGATGGATGAGGAGATGTGGGTGAGAGGG